TATATATATATATATATATATATATAAGCAGCATAAGTGGACAGTGTATTTAGGTGGACTTTTTTATTCCTTTCTTTGGTATTAATAAACCCTAATTCATTTATTCCACTTGGCATCATACGTAACACGCGGAAGAAGAAAAAAAGAATAGACTCAGCGTGTTTACGTGGGTAGCTGGAGCGTAACCCACCAGCATCACACATAGACATACGTAATTGTTGGTGCCCATAGACAAAGTGGCTGCTGCTGCCGCCGCCGCTGCCTGTCGGTGGTTTATTTTTGGAAACAGCGACGTATTTGCGTTGAGGTCTGCGTGCGCCGGGGCAAATGGCGGAGGCTGCCAGGTACAAGAAACTCACCCCCATCGATCATGTCCTCGTACGGCCGGAAATGTACGTCGGCAGCGTGGAGACGATCTCTACGGCGATGTTTGTCTTCGATCACGACAAGGAACGGATGGTGTGGGAGCCAGTGAAGCTCAACCACGGCCTGCTGAAGATTGTGGATGAGATTCTCCTCAACGCCTCCGACAACCTTGCGAACAAAAGCGCTCGCATGACGTACATTCGCGTCCACATCACCGAGTACGGGGAAATTACCATCGAGAACGACGGCGCCGGTATTCCTATTGTACGCAGCAAGGAGCACAAACTCTACATCCCCGAGATGGTGTTTGGTCACCTCCTTACCAGCTCCAATTACGACGATGCGAGTCAATCCACCGTTGCGGGACGACACGGCTATGGTGCGAAGCTTACAAACATTTTGTCCCACCGCTTCTCCGTCTTCTGCCGGACGAAAGGGAGGGAGTTTCACATGACTTGGCAGGATCACATGCGTAAGGCGACGGCTCCGCGTGTGTCGAACGGCGATCCAAGGGAGAAGAATGTAACGCGTGTGAAGTTTCTGCCAGATTACGAACGCTTCGGCTTGAAGGAGAACAAAATTTCACATGACATGAAGCGGGTGCTTCACAAGCGCGTCATGGATTTGGCCGCCATGTTCCCAAACATTGAAATCTCACTAAATGGTGTCCCGTTCGGCTTTAAGTCCTTTCACGACTACGCCGTGCTGTACAGCACCCCAATCGCAGGTGGGGAAAGGCCGCCGGCGCCGTTTGTGTACGAGAGTCGCAATGGCGCCATCGCGTTTGTACCCTCTCTTACTGCTGGCATCCGTCGCATCTTTAGTGTGGTGAACGGTGTTGTGACGCACAATGGCGGCACCCACTGCAACGCGGCGCAGGACATCCTACAGTCCTCCCTGGAGTACGTTGAGCGGGCGCTCAAGAAAGAAAACAAGGTGATTGACACAAATCGTGTTCTGCGGCACTTTACCATCCTCGTGTTTCTTGTGCAGGTGCAGCCGAGGTTTGACTCGCAGAACAAAGCGCGCCTCGTCTCCGCTCCGACGATGCCGCGAGTACCAAGGCAAGAGCTTACGGAGTTTCTGCTGCGCATGCCGTTTCTCGAGGCACACGTGAACACCATGACGGGGCAACTCGCGGAGGAGCTGAACAAAGAGATGGGTGCCGGGCGACGCATGAGCAGCAAGTCCCTTATCTCTTCCATTACAAAATTAGTGGACGCCACCACGACACGTCGGGACCCAAAATGCGTTCGCACCCTCATCGTCACGGAGGGAGACTCTGCGAAGGCGCTCGCGCAGAACTCTCTGACAAGTGACCAGAAACGCTACATAGGGGTTTACCCACTGCGTGGTAAACTGTTAAACGTACGGAATAAAAACCTTAGACGCCTTAAAAACTGTAAGGAGTTGCAGGAGCTCTTCTGTGCCCTTGGACTTGAGCTGGGGAAGGTCTACAAGGGTGCCGACGAACTGCGCTACCAGCGCTTACTCCTAATGACCGACCAGGACGCGGATGGATCGCACATTAAGGGGCTTGTCATCAACGCCTTTGAGTCATTGTGGCCCTCGCTGCTTATCCGCAACCCGGGCTTCATCTCCATCTTTTCCACGCCCATTGTGAAGGTGCGGCTGAGAGACAAGTCCACCTACTCATTCTTCAGTCTGAAGGAGTTTCATAAATGGCAGAAGACGCATGGAAACGTACCCTACACGGCAAAGTACTATAAAGGTCTCGGTACATCCACCACGGCGGAGGGGAAGGAGTACTTTAAGGACATGGACAAACACACCATGCGGCTTCTGATGGATCGCAATGATCACAAGTTGCTCGACAGCGTGTTTGACTCGCAGGAGGTGGAGTGGCGCAAGGATTGGATGACAAAAGCAAATGCCTACAGTGGGGAGGTGGACATTGATCGCAGCAAAAAGACACTCACGTTATCCGATTTTGTTCACAAGGAGATGGTGCATTTTGCCCTTGCCGGCAATGCCCGCGCCTTAGCACACGCGGTGGATGGATTAAAGCCCTCACAACGGAAAATTTTGTGGGCGCTCTTGCGTCGCTCAAGTAATGAGGCTGCCAAAGTGGCGCAGCTGTCGGGTTACATTTCAGAGGCCTCTGCCTTCCACCACGGCGAAATGTCCCTGCAAGAAACGATTATTAAGATGGCTCAGAATTTTACCGGTGGCAACAATATTAACCTACTCGTTCCGGAGGGTCAATTTGGTTCGCGTCAGCAGATGGGCAATGACCACGCGGCTCCTCGCTACATCTTTACAAAACTTTCTAGTTTTGCACGGATACTTTTCCCTAGCGAGGATGAGTCTCTCTTGGACTACGTTGTAGAGGAGGGGCAGCAGGTGGAGCCAAACCACTACGTTCCAATCATTCCGCTGCTGTTGTGTAACGGGAGTGTTGGTATTGGGTTTGGTTTCGCATCTAATATCCCCCCGTTTCACCCACTTGATGTTTCAGCAGCCGTGCGCAGTATGATCAATGGTGAGAGTGCCAAGGTTGTCGTGCGGCGGCTTGTGCCTTGGGCCGTCGGCTACCAGGGTGAAATACGTCGAGGCCCAGAAGGGGAATTCATCGCGGCTGGAAGTTACAATTACTACCTCGATGGTCGTGTGCACGTGACAGAGTTGCCGTGGACGCTTAGCATTGAGGCCTTCCGCGGCCACATCTCGCACCTCGCGTCGAAGGATGTCGTGCAGCGCATTGCCGACTACTCTGGCGCAAACCACGTTGACATTGATCTGGAACTCACGAGGGGTGCCATAACGACGTACGCAGAGTGCGAGAGCGAGCTCATGTTGATTCAGCGTGTCTACATCAATGGGACGGTCTTTTCTCCAAACGGTGTTCTCACCCCTTTGGAAGGTGACTTGGCACCTGTGCTGCAGTGGCACTACGACCGCCGCCTGGATCTTTACAAGAAAAGACGCCAGCGCAACTTGGGGCTTCTCGAGGCCGAACTCGCACGGGAGAAATCAACGTTAACGTTTGTGAACCACTTCCGCAGTGGAAAAATTGACTTTGTCAATGCCACAGATGAAAGTCTGGTGAAGACCTGCTGCAAGCTGGGCATGGTGCGTGTGGACGATGGCTATGACTATGTGCTGCGCAAACCCATCATGTTCTACACAAGGACGAGTCTCGAAAACCTCGGTCGCAAGATTATAGATATTGAGAAACGCATCGAGAAACTTAAAAAGACAACGCCGGTGCAGCTTTGGCTAAACGAGCTCGACCGCTTCGACCGCGCCTTTGAGGAGTACGAGAAGGCGGCGGTGGCGTCCATTCTCAAGGAGCGACGGGGGCACCCGTCTACAGGGGAACTTAACCGAGCCTTGCAGCAGCCGCGACTGGAGGTGGAGGAGCCTAATGCCCCCTCCGCTGGGGGTAGAGGGGTCCCAATGCGGGTAAAGGTGCGAAAGTACACTCCCCCACCGCCGAGCAAGCGACCCCACACTGACGGTGGCGGCGGCAGTAGCAGCGCAGCGGCGGTGGTGGCACACGTAAAGGCCGCAAAGAGGGCGGCGCGGGCGAAGGGTGTGCAGAAGCTGCTGTTGGATGCCGCTTCTCAGCAAGTAGCACGTGTCATTTCGCGGTTGCCGTGGTTCCTGTTTTGAGGCTCGGATTCGCCTCTACAATTCCCTCCCGCTGCCTCTTGTTGCGTCACACCCCAACTAAAAGGCAGCAGGCATTGCAGGGCATGGTGAGGGAAGGACCGCCGGGGCCGTCAAGGCGGGCGAGCCGGGTTTCAGGTGGGCACATGTCGCCTGTGGCTGGCTGGAAGGGAGAAAGGGAGGGGGGTCATACACAACAGAACGTCTCCGTGTGAATCCGTCGGGGCTGAATAGCAGGAATCAACTAACAGGCGAGGAACGAATAGAAAATTGTAAAAAAAAAACAATGTTTTTTATTATTAAAAACAAGAGTCACCCATAGAGTTTCATAAAAATAGAAATGAGGTGGTGGTGGGGAAGAGGGGGAGGAGGGGGGGGGGGGGTGGAATGCTTTCCACGCGGTTTTCTCTTTTCACTTGTCTGTGGGACGGTGGCTGGGCATGCGCACGTCGCTGAGGAGGATAAAAACGAACTCGGCCTCCCATGCACCCCTCAAAAAAGAAATTACACAGAAAAATACTGCTAATGACACTACCCAGAACCAACATAAAAATAAATAAAAAAATCAGCAATGACGACAAGGCGGGGAACAAAAGCAACGCGCTACTGCTGGCTTATTATTAATTTATTTGTGTGTGTGTGTGTTAATACGAAAGACGCGAAAAATAGCTGCAACAAATACAGATGCATGTACTGGGAGACACGGTAAAACTAGTGGTGGTGCTGGTAGCGAGTTTATTGCCCCCCCTCCCGCTTCTTTTTTTTTTCTCTTTATCCCTCTCTACTATCATTGGCATTTTAACTGCATCTCTGCTGGTAAGTCTTTTGTGTCACCGCTGTGTTATGTGTGTGTGTGCATGCGTATTTATCTTGACTTTACTGACGATGTTTCTTTTTTTTTTTTTTTTGGAAAAAAAAAACAACTTTTTCCCTCTGCGTGAGTAATTTTATTTTGAAGGCTCTATACGGACGGAGGCAACGTCAAACGTTGGAGGTGTTTGTGGGCTGCGCGTCCCCCGGCCCTTTGGCGGAAGTTTTCTGTTAGGCCATGGAGTTAGACTCCATCAAATTGCAGCTGCGGGAACTGCAGCAGTGCTACGACGATGATACAAAAAGCGATGATGACATTATCTACCTGGTGTATAACTGGGTGAAAAGTGCCCATGTTGTGGCCCAGCTACTATTGTTGGAGGGCCGTTTTCCCGAGTTGCGCCGCTGCCTTGATCTCTGTCAAAATGTTCTACAGGAGGAACATGTCGGGGCGAGCAGTGGAAAGCTCGGTGGTAGTGGTAGTCACAGGAAAGTTATTTCGCGCGCTGTTGGGGAGGATCGTTCGCTGATGGACGCCCTCCATGTGCGCACTTTACAGCTGCAGAAGCAGTGCGAGGAGGCCCGCATGAAGTTCAAGGGTCGGGATACGCAGTACTACATGAACAAACTGCTTCGCGCCGGCGTTGAGGAGGGGGCACGTGGCGGCACACGTAACACCGCCGTGGGTGGGGAGCGGCGGCCACCCACGCCACCGGAGCGCGGGATCTCGTTTGGCCGACTCACGCGGTGCAATCGATGGAAAGTGCCACCCGTTCTACCGCCACTTGTGACAGAAACGAAGCCATTTTTTTGTGGCCGCACGAGCGTGGGCGTCGATGGCTTCTCAGACGTCCCCTCAAGGCGCTGGGGGAGCTCGCCACACGTGACGTACTCTTCAGTGCCACTAGAAAGTGGCGTGAGACTCGGCGATGCCTTGTCGCAAGCAGCCGTGTTGTCAGCGGAGGAAGACCGGCCTGTGGATCTCACACGCGGCGGCGAGTCCGCGTCGAGCACAGGTGTTCCACAGCACTTGCTGTTGGAAACCTTGGACGTCGCAGCGAGCAACGCACCGCTGCCTGAAAAAGCGGTGTGGCAGTACAAAGCATTCGTGCACGGAAAACACGTACGACCGCTGTCGGCAGGAGTGAACACTGCACCGCAGCTCTCTGGAGAGGTGGAGCCCCGCTCTAGGGGGAGTGTGGACTCGCGCGTCGTGAGGACAGCCATTGCAATCAAGACTGCAACGGAGGCGCAGCAGCGTTCCATGGCCGCGATGCAGGCGATGACGGGGCCCTCACCCCTCTTCCTTCAACAAGACGAGCAACAACCACAACGTGAGGGGCCGGAACAACTCTCTGCACCTCGAACCGATAGCAGACTGGGGAACGGGAAGAGAGGAGCAGGTAAAGGGGAGGATAGAGATGCATTCTCAGGGGTTTGGCGTCTTGGAACATCGTCTCAGAGTTCCTTCTCCATTCGCAGCACAAGGGGCAAGGATACGTTGTTGCCGAAGCGACTTCAACGCCTCAATTCCCCGATCCTGTCCCTGTCCAAAACACTTGAGCACTCTAATCACCAGAGTTGTGAGATGAATAACACCTTGGGGACCATGGATTTGTTACAGAGCCGTTCCGCCGAGGTCGTGGAGGCGGGGTCCAGTGCGTTGACGTGCCACATCAGGAAGGAGTCTTTAAAGGCAAGTGATTTCTACCCGTGCCTTTCGCTGGACGCAAAAGCGAAGGTGGAAGATATATACAACCACTACAAGGAAAAACGTAGTGAACTTCGACTCTCTATGCGTGCCATACGTCGTAAGGTGGGAAAGCAACGTGACCTCTTTAAACCCCACGAGCAGGTTGTGCTTCTGGAGGATCCTGCTGTGTGGAAGGCGCGACGACGCCACCCCGCTGTGGTGTTGGATAGCTTTGTAACAGCTGGCCCCTCCATCCCCGAGGTCTGCCGGCTTTCGGCTACCAACACGCTAGACTCCAGAAGCTTTCTAAGTGTCAGTGGTGCCGTCAGAAGCGATTGCTTGTCATTAGCCGCGGCTAGCGCAAATGCGACTTCGTTGGGGAAAACAGATACCTCTGATGATGTTGCTTTTTCAACGGAATGTGCCTTACAACCAACTGAGTTAGAACACAACACTTCACACCTATCTGAGTCGGGATTGGCATCCCGTGGGCATCATGGGACAAGTTTGGTCATAGGCGAAGGTAGGGATGGAGACAAAATGTTTTCCCCTGGCGTTGGAAAACCAACATTCAGTAGCTCGTCGTCCATTACCCGCACGGCGCCACGCTACATTGATGTGATGCCTTCAATGCTAGAATTGCGGCTTGCACGGCTGAACTCATCAACGTGCGTGGCGTTTCCCATTGTACACGCGATGGTGACGCGTCGAACCGCGGCACGTGTGGAACAGGAGAAGAACCTAAAGCAATTTGGCAGTGTCACATTACCTTCACACATCTCGGTGTTTTTGCCGGGATCTTCTCACCCATTAACTGAGGGTGGTGTGGGCCGTCAGAACATGTCCAGCACTGCGTTGCAGCCTTTGTCACTCACACCCGAAACACAGTTTGTTGTTGTAGGGCAAAAAGAGAAGGGCGGGACGAGGGTTTCGGACGCGCATGCAGGCCAGGAAGGTGGGAGGGATCATGCAGTGGCGATGCCTCTCTCCTTGGAGGAGATTCGTCGCTGCTCCGATTTGGTGCTCATGGATGCTGCAGCGCTTGAAATGAGCCTTCCATTTCATCTGGCAACTGTTCGGCTGCAGTGTGCATGCCGGCGGTTTTTGGCCAAACGTGAGCGCAGTCGTCGGTCCGCCGCCGTGGAAGAGTATTTGAATAGCATGGTTCTGCGTGGAAAGAGTGCCATTATCATTCAACGAAACGTCCGTTGCTGGTTAGTACGTCGGAAGATGTCAACAGTGGCGATGCGCCTTGGATACAAGGTGGATCAACAGGTTGCAAATGACGACATTTACTCGGAGGATACGGGCCCCGATGACACGGGAAATGGGTTTGGTGTGGCGCCTCTTGGGTGGAGAACGACATCAGCTGAGATGCCCTTAACGACGACGGTTGGGAGTAGTCTGTCCTCTTTACCACTGGAGAGTTTGCAGGAATCACCAGATTATCAGCGTCAGATGCAAATTAGCCTCTCCCCGGTGGCGTCAGGCGCGTTCAAACTCTACAATATTCCTAGTACAATACGTTTTAAACAGCCCCCGACGCGCACTGCGCGGCTTCGACGGATTCAGGAAAACATTGCATGCAGGGTGATTGTGCGGGTCTTTCGGAATCACCTGAACAGGGCGATTAAATACTGGGAAGAGGAAACACGCACCTACATAAGTTACGCGACCGGTAGGTTGAAGTTTATGGAGGCGTTTGGTGTTCCATGGGCTCACTCACAACAGTGTGTTGACGGTGCAGGTCGCATCGGAAGCACCACTGAGAAACCGATGGCCTTCGACCTCTCACAAAGTATGTCATTTTGCTCGAGTGTCTTTCCTCTTTCACCGGAGCGCGTGTCGGGCGATGTTGTTGCCGCTTGGGAGGCTCGTATGGCAGAGGCTCGACGTTGGGGCGAATTTATGACACCGCTGGAGCAGGTGAAGCTCTCCGAGCTACTGCGAGTGCTGCGGAAACGCCAAGAGGCAGAGGCGGTGCAGCGCCGTGAGCAGGAGGAGTTATGGCTGCAAGAAAAGGAGGAGATTCAGCAGCGGCAAAGGGTGAAGGTGAATGCCGTGTTACTGATTCAACGTTGCGCGCGGGGGTGCCGGTTTCGGCAGTGGTTTGCCAAAAAACTACAAATGGTGCGAGAGGGGCAGTTGATCCATCACCGTCGAGCTGAGCTGCTTGACGGCAACAAAGTTGGGTTGGCCAACCCCCACATTGCCAACGTCGCGAGCAGTTTGTTGCTGTCCTTCTCAGCCATGGGTGGTAAATCCATTCCTTCAGAGGCGCAGCCAGTTCCACCCGAGGTGGCCGCGGTGATTATGAAGGGTATTTACCGTCGCCATCCAATGCGGTTCGGCGTCGACGAGGGGACACGCCGTAAGCAATTACTAGGGGTGGTTACGGTGCAATGCTTTTTGCGATTTCGTGCCAGTCAAGATTGTGTGATTGACCGCTACATTGAACTTTGCGCCATCGTGATTCAGCGACAATGGCGACTTGTTCTCAAACGACGCAAGGTTTTGAAGAAAGCCAAGCGAAAACGTGTGGTCAACACCCTCCAGGCTATGGGAGCCTGAAAAGACACGTGTTGCTTTTTGATGTACAGTGCATTCGTGCCATTAACGGGTCTCGTACAAGCGAACACCCGAACAAACACAATTCCCCCTTTCGCTCTTGATCTATGTATGTATGTATGTATGTATGTATGTATGTGTGTGTGTGTGTGTGTGTGTGTGTGTCTTCCTTCCTTGTTTTCTCTCTACTTATATTTCTTGTGTGTGGTTGACGTGTTGTGGAGGCGGGTTCACCGCTGCGGGACTGTGTGTGGGGTGACAACGCAGGTGGATGCCGTTCCTCATTCTTCCCTTCGTCCTTCCTTTCTTCTTTCCCCTCCCCTATCGCCATGGCCGCCGTCTTTCTACTTGCACCTGATTCTATAGCCACTACTTCGATGTCTACAATTTTTGGCTTTTGGTGCCTCTTTTGTTCCACCAAATGGTGAGCAACCCCATCTGTGGCGGGAAAATTAGGGAAGGGGGTAATGGCATGGACGGAAGTGGTTGAGACTCCGCTTGCGTGCTCTGGTGGAGTTCCACCGCCGAGGCAAGTCCATGAGAGTGCATACCCGTGGTGTTTGTGCGTTGTCGCGTCTTCCGCTGGGTGTGTGTGTGTGTGCTTGTGACACCTGAATGTTGTTGTTGTTGTGTTTTGTTGGTTGTTGCTGCTACTGACGAAACTTGTCACTTTTTTTATTGTTGTTATTCTTCTTTTTCTCCTTGTGACGCCTTCTGCGGTGCGTTGACGTGTATGCACCATTTGCACCCACGCGTGCGGTGAGAGGTGGGGAAGCTGAGCTTGGCCAGGAAGTCTTCCCGGCGTTGCGTAGAAGCAGCGCGGGGGAGTGTGAGGGATCAAGGCGGCGCGGGCAGCGAGGACTAGAAAGACAAAGCGAAGCGAAGCAGGAACGGAGGGTGCCACAGTTAACTTATCCGGATGCATCGGAAGACACTGCGCCGACTCCAGCAGGCCGTGCAAAACCCACCCGTTGGTTCGGCTAACATTCCCTCGCCTTACGCAACGGAGGGCGGTCACGTCCCGATCTGGTCGATCGTCAATGGCTTTGTGCAGAAGCGCAACTGGGTGTTCCGCAACCCGGAGTGGTGCGACCTCTGCAAGGAGCCTGTAGCGCTCTGGGTCAATCATCACGGGCGCAAGGACCACGCCTTGATGGACATGCACTACACGCAGATGATGGAGTTTCCACGCCGGTGGAACCCAGAGGAGGTCCTTGCCGTTTTTCTGGATGAGTTGGGGCTCCCTGTGGGGAACTACCAGGGGTACTACAGCGGCTACGAGCGAGAGCACCGCAATGAACTCTACGCCATGCTTGTCACACTGGAGGGGGAAAAGATGCTTCACTTTGGGGAGCCACGAGACACCTATTTAAACCGCATGCAGGGTGGTATGCGTGGGATGGATCATCAGGGGGCCTTGGTGCTGCATCGGTACATCCTCGGCCCCTTCATGCGCATTTACCCCAATGGTCACATTCAAGACTACTCGAACCTGGTGGACTTTGTCACGTGTGCGTACAACATGGAGACGGTCTATGATTTATGCGGCTTTTACACCCTGGACAAGGTTGCCTTGAAGGCGGATTACAAAGCAACCTCCCCCGCTGCATTGGGTCTGGGGGGTATTGCGGTTCATTCTTCCGCGTCGCACGGCTTTGTGCAGCAGGCGATTGAAACCCCGCTGCAGCAGCAGCAGCAGCAGCGGCAACAACGAAATCCGGCAGCGGGAACAAGCAGTCGCAGTGCGGCTGACATGGAAGAGGAGGCCTTCTCAAGGAAAGCGGTCTTTGTTCGACAGCTTCTAGGCCAGCTTCGGTGGTTGACACTGCCAGGTGAAGAGCACCCCGCCGGTTACACGTTTTCACCGCATTTGATGTTGCTAGGGGAAATATGTCTCAAGTCGCTTGTGGTGGAAGTTATAGCGGCACGTCTGTGTGAGTACATGGTGCGTGTGGAGCCTGTGTGGCGCGATCACGGGTACGAGCGTGTGAAGCTTAACGTGGACAAGATAGTGCAGCAGCAGAGTGATATTCTACCTGAACCTGTCAAGTTTTTTTACCGCCCCATGTCACGGGACATGGATGATTTCTACAGCACTAAACGAGGTGGACTCGACGAGACGCTGGAGAAGGCTGTGGTTGCGTCAGTATCGGGTAAGGCAGCCTAAGACACATGCGTGTTTTGCGACTGTCGCTCGGTAGTTGGGCAGGTGGAGGGTTTTGCAGTGGCGCTGCGTTGTCAATGAGGACGATCATGCGTATATGGGGGAAAACAAATGGGGGGGGGGGCGACTTGAAGAGGCGTTTAATGTTTTTTATGCATGCGCACATGCGCACCTCCGCAATGTGTTTCATTTCTCTCACTCCTTGTGTTACACTTCCATACACACGCACACGCACACGCACACACACACACACACACACATTGCATGCAGGTACATAACGAAGAAGTTGGGAACTGTTGTCACGGGCAAATAAAATGCTGACATCACCCGCAGCTCTGCGGGGCTGCGTGTTTTCGCGGTGGGCATTTGTTCGTTCATTCGTGGTGCAGGGCGGTGGCGGCGGTGGCGTCACGCGAGCCCTTCGACCAGACTGGGGTCGGCATCTGATGCATACGCCGGCGGCTTCCGTGCGTACGGATGTGGCAGGGAGCGGCGTCTATCCGCACCAGGAGTACAACTCCTTTGAGAAGCATGCTGACGACTTGGGTACCCTTTTTTCCGCTTTGGCACTTTATCCCTCCTCTTCGCCTGGTGACGAGGGCATTGTGGCAGTTTCACGTACCCCACCGCCCAGGAAACGTGTGCCGCGATGGTTCTTTCCCGGACTCACTGGGGAGGTGGAGCAAAGGGGCGGAGTCGAGCCGGCAGCAAATAAATTGACGGCAACATCTGGTGAAAGGGAAGGAATGACACATGCATCAACGGAGTCGCGTCGCATGAGCAGCGCAGGCGACACTGCAGCCCACACGTCGCAAGCCGCATCTGAGCCTGCGCGTGGTGAACACGGTGGGGCGACGACAACAACCACCACCACCACGCACTTTATAGTGCCAGCACCAGCGTCTTCACTGGATGATGGTCTTCCTTTGGCCTTTTGCAAGTATGAGGCGCAACGCAATCAGCGTATCAAGGCGTTTTTGGTGACTGCAATGGGTGGCGGCTTCGCAAAGGCGAGTACGGATAGCGATGGGCCTCGCATGAGTTTCTCTGCCGCTTCGGCTGCAGCGGCAAAAGAGGCCGTTGGCCTTCGCCGTGTGTCACCTAAACTGCTGATATCGTTTCTTTCCTGCTCAGATAATGCCTGGAGTTGGGTGGACATCACGGCGCACCCCACGGCTTCCCTTGACGAGTACCGTGACGCCCTCTCAGAGGTGTTGATTGACCTCGGCACACATGAGACGCTTGTCAGTGACGCGCTGGAACCGATGCTGCTGCCGCAGACAACTGTGATGCGTGGGTGTCACTGTCTGGTAGTTCGCTACGCCGAAGATGCAGCGAAGGCCTCCATGGATGGTTTTCAGGACCTTACCAACCGTCTAACCATTTTTGTGACCGATAAACGTGTAATCACGATTCACCGCCTGCATTGTGTCTTTGTGGAGAAGATTAAACAGGATTGGACGCAACTAATGAAAGAGGAGAGTAAGACGTTCCTCTTGAGTCTGCTTGTGAAGGAGGCTGTGGATACGTTTAACACCGCCCTCACTCGATGCATTGTGGAGTTTGACGGGTATGAGGGAAGCCTCTTCTCCTCAGAGGGTCATCGATCGACGCTGGCGCGCCAAATCTACCACATCAAGCGTCGTGCATCTGTGTACACGCGAACACTGAGTCTCCTTGGTGACGCCTACAGTCATGTGTGTGGTGCTCTTCCCGTCATGCCCAACGATGTACAATTTCAAGACGTACAGCAGGATATCGCCCATGTACGATCCTTGTCAGAAGAGCTGCTCAACAGCGCGGATTCAGGCCTGCAGCTTCTTTTTCAACTCTCTTCCTACCAACTCAATGAACTCATGCGGGTGTTGACCATTTTTAGCGCCTTCTTCATCCCGCTTAGCTTTGTGGCTTCTATCTATGGCATGAACTTTACTCACCTGCCGCTTATTGAAGATAAACATGGTCACATGTATTGTATTGCGCTGATGGTGGCGGTGGGGAGCAGCCTTGGTGGGTGGTTCAAGTTTAAGCGCTTCATGTGATGGTGGCGACGGCTGAAGAGAGGGTGAGAAACGGGTGGGTGAGGCAGGGTTGTGTCTTGACGACCGTCGTCACGGCAGCCGGGCAGGCGGCCCGTGGAATGGGGCAGGTTGTATCACAGTAAGAAATCATATATTTAATATTTCTCTTGCATGCGCAACCGCAGAAGAAGAAGAGGGAAAAAAAAGGGGGGGGCTTGGTGGCTTCAGTGTGTAGAATATATTTGTTTATTCATGCATACACACACACACACACACACAGAGAGAGAGAGAGAGAGAGCGACTGGGAAGTCTCAGTAAACGTGGATCGGCACACGCGTGTGCCGATGCGAATAGTGATAATAATACTACGGATGGTGTTATCTGTATCATATTATTTCGGTGGCTCTTCTTTTTCCGCGCGTGCCTATTCTTTGTGTCTTCTTCTTGCTTCTGCGACTTCACCACCTCCTCCTCTTCTCTCTGGAGGGGGTGAAGAGGCAAGAGCCGTTGCGGAACCAAACAAGGAAAGAAGAAAAAGATTAACACTTGTTGACGCTTATGGCTCGTGGAGCTCCTTTCCGCTTGCCTGTGGTTGTGACGCAGAAGCCGCTGCGACCCGCTTTCTTCTTCGATCTGCCTTCCTTGTTTCTTTCCACTCTTTTTTTTTTTTTTTGCGTGTGCGTGGGCGCAGTTTGGTTTGTTTTGCGTCTTTACTCCCACCCTCTTTGTCTTTTCTCGCTTCCCTTCCTCCTTCGCACGTCGGTGGTGAGTGGCGGCAAAAGAGCACGGGGAATTCACATTACACACGTGCTGGAGACAACAACAACAAAAAGTGTGGCGGAGAGAAGCAGAGAGCAAAGAAGAGAGGCGATGGAACCCGCAGTGAAGGAGAGTGTCTCCCGTATTCCACTGCTCAAGACGAAGGCAGGTCCACGCGACAATGAGAAGTGGACGCAGCGCCTGAAGGAGGAGTACATGTCCCTTATCCAGTACGTGGAGAACAACAAGGCGAGTGACAACCACTGGTTTCAGCTGGAGAGCAATGAGGCCGGCACCCGGTGGTACGGTACCTGTTGGACGTACTACAAGAACGAGAAGTATGAGTTTAAGGTGAGCTTTGATCTCGCCGTGACGTATCCGCAGGCCCCACCGGAGATCGCCCTACCCGAACTGGAGGGCAAAACGGTTAAAATGTACCGCGGAGGCAAAATATGCATGACAACGCATTTCTTCCCACTGTGGGCACGGAATGTCCCATACTTTGGCATCAGCCACGCGCTTGCGCTGGGCCTGGGGCCGTGGCTGTCTGTTGAAGTGCCGGCTATGGTGGAAGAGGGCGTTTTGAAACCCACCGCCAAGAAGTAGAGATGGGTGAACGCACACGAAGCAAAAGGAGCATGAGGCGGGGGTTATTTTTCACTGCATCAGAGGCCCGGTGAGGCGGAAGTGCGGTGCGGGCGGATCGGTTCTTCTGCAACAGGCTGGGGAGGGATTTGCGTACATAATATATATATATATATATCCTTCTTTCTTTTGATTTTATCCCTCTTCTTAAGCTCATCTGCCTCTTCTGGAGAAAACGGGTAGGAATGTTACTGTTTCTCTTCTCTGTCATGAAGACTCCTCCGCGCACATCTTGACACGACATGCCTCTTCCTTTTTTTTTTTTTGTGTGTGTGTTTATGTAGTTTTTTTTTACTATACGGGCTGACGTACGCGGCAAAACAACAACGGACAACAATGTTCTTGGACTCCGAACGATTTGGAAGGGCATATACCTATGCCACCGCCTTCTTCTGCGGTGTCTCCATGCTACTGCCCATTAATGCCATTTTTTCTGCTCCCTTATACGTTATGAATTACTATCAATACGTGATGCAAGACCCCGATGCAGTGTCAGTCCACAAAAACTTCTGGGACAATTCTCTGACGTATTACACAATGATTGTCTTGGTCACATCACTAATCGTGGAACCCTTAACTCTAAGCAAATCATTCCGTCGTCTTCCACTGCGGTTGCGTATGCTGTCGGCACTGTGCATCCTGTGGTTGGAGATTGCCGTCCTGATGGTGGTGCCGGCTGTCGGCGCATCGGAGGGAGGGGCCATCGCCACTATTGTGATTGCAGGTTTTACCTCAGCACTTGGAAAATCGGTGTTCGAAACAACAGCATACGGCTTGTTCGGGGCGTTTCCTTCCCGTTTCATGATAACCTTAATGGGTGGTATCGGCGTGGCCGGGGTGTTGACGTCCGTCCTACAACTCATTGTAAAGGCAGCTCTCCCTGAAAACTACGATGGGATTCGCACTCAATCCAAGATTTTCTATGGGTTAGTGGTGGGCATGCATGGTGTCACCTTCGTTCTGTTAGCCCTGATTCAGTGGGTCCCGTTTGCTCGGCGTTGCACGGATTCCCTGAGTGGGGCCCAGCATAAAACTGAAGACGGTAAAAACGCGCAAACGCCGAAATCTAATCACGACACATCTCCTGATACCGAAGAGAGAGATGTTGTGAGGGATCCACACGCGGGTGGTGACGATGATGCTGGACTTCTCGCGAATACGGACATATTGTACGTGTTGAAGCACGTGTACCCGATGCTCATTGCGTGTGGCTTCAACTTCTTCGTTACCCTCTACCTCTTCCCAACGATTGTGGTCTCGGTGGATTCTTCGGATTACTGGTATGGAACGGTCGCCGTCGCCATCTTCAATTTTACAGACGTGATTGGTCGTTTTGCTCCTTCACTGAAGTGCTTGTGGCCTGCACGCTGGATGGTGGTGGCTGCGTCCTTTGCCCGTGTCATCTTCATCCCGCTCCTTCTCATGTCGTCGTACCACTACATCCCGGGGTTTACCTTTAACTATATCATGATGGTGATTTTTGGTCTGTCGAATGGCTTTGTTGGTGTTCTCACGCTAACCTTTGGGCCTATTTCGGAAGGTCTGACGACTACAGGCCAGCGCTTTGTGGCTGGGACGATGCTTGGCATTGCCATCCTCACTGGTGGATCAATTGGTACGGCACTGAGCATCATGACCCAGACGCTGCGCGAGTAGGCTGGGTCAGGCCGTTCTCTACTGCAATCGTTAACAAGCACCAAATTCTAAGATTAATCATGTATATTTCTTTAACTACAAAAACGTTTTTTTTTCTTTGTTTTACCCTGCTGTTATGACGTCCCAATGAAAAGAATGGAGACGAAAAATAATTTAAATGATAAAAGAAAGACGCTATGGCATTCTCGTGACCGCCGCTGCTTTCATTGTCACACTCATCACCCTCTGCCCTGCCAGTGTAGGGAGCAGCCGAAGAACGAGGTTGTAGACGAGTGGATGGCGTGTGTAGGAATAGCCAAATGAGCAGGCGCGGGCTTTGCCACTCGCAGGTCTCTGTTCAGCGGTGGGAGAGTTGCAATTCAATTGTTCATATGCAGCTTCTCACTAGGATTTTGTGGAACGTATTTGGTTCCAGCATAATAGCAATAACACACTTTTAATGTAAGTCGTCATTACGTACTTTTTTTTTTTTTTTTTTCTTCTTTGATGTTTTTTGTTTGTTTTTTTTTTTTTTTTTTAAAAATTATATATATTCCTCATGTTGGTGGGTGCCAGCGCGGGCTCTACATGCTGCAATAGACGTACTGCAAGTGTATCATCTTTCAATGTATTTGGTACATTGAGGCTCCATTCACACGGATATCGCATTCACTTTTTCCTGTGATTGCTGCACTACCTGATGCTCCCTCTTTTGGCTTGCTTGCACATTTTACGTGTGCCACTTGCGGTGCACGACGCATTCAGGGGATTGGGGTTGGCTGCGGCCACAGTAGTAAGAGGGTCGATCAGTGGTGGGGAAGCATTATCAGGGCGGGGGAGAGCTACAGAAGTGCGCCGAGATCCTGCAAGTGAAAAAAAAAAACAAGGAATACAAAACAATGGTAGCGATTATTCCAGGCCTCCCTGCAGCCTTTGATGTGGAGCATGATCGCATGGAAGATGTTTTTGCCTCTGTAAAGAGCCGTGCTGTTGGCAAGGATGGCAACCCACTCTCACCGGAGGAGGCATGGGTACAGCAGGAGCTGCAGCACTATGAGAATCTATACACAGAGCAGCAGGAGCTTATGGTCTGCCTTGTCACGTTCAACGTGGCCTGCAAGAAGCCACCCGCAAACTTGTCCACCCTCATCTCACTGAAAATGGCGGAGGACGCCAACAGGCCCGTGGATCTCGTCATGGTAAGCCTTCAGGAGGTTGACATGGGGGCATCCGCCATGTTAAAGGAGGAAACTGAGGCGGCAACACCGTGGATTATGGGGTTGCACGCCGCGGTAGGCGCAGACCTTCATACGGTAAGCAACAAGCCATATTACGCCTTTCCACCTAAGCAACTTGTTGGTCTCCTGTTATGCGTCTACCTACGACGTCAGCTACTTCCCCACATGCAAGACATGTCGCTTATGACAGTTGCGACAGGAGCACTGGGTAGCATGGGAAATAAAGGTGCCATTGGTTTGCGCTTTGTGTTGTACCGCACAAGTCTATGTCTTATAAACGTACACTTAGCTGCAGGACACAACAACGTCCTGAAACGTAATGCAGATGCGAGTACTATATTTGAGTGCATGGATTTTAATGCGCAGAAGCGGCAGGCGTTGGTTGCTGCTATAGGGGACGGGTATATTCCGCCTGAGTACATGGATCAAAGCCCGGAACTGCGTCCGCATGATCATGATATCGTCATCGTCGCTGGGGACCTTAACTACCGGGTGAACCTGAGTTACGAGGAGGCGGTAGAACTGTCTCTGCGCCGCGATGTCACACGGCTGCTGATGCACGATGAACTGGTCTCAGAGTTAGCCAATTCGCACTCACCGTGGTGGGGGTTCATGGATCTCACACCGACGTTTCCCCCAACTTACCGCTATGACATTGGGATGAATGTCTACGACACGAGTGAGAAGCAGCGTGTCCCAAGCTACACGGATCGTATTGTTACATGGACAAAACGCAAGTCCCACCAGAAGCTGATTTGTGTGGAAAGTCTGCAGGCAATAGTAGATATTGTCAGTAGTGACCACAAACCCGTACAGGCGCTGCTGCGGCTTCCGATACGTTGCGAGGTTGAGGAAAAGAAAAAGAGTGTTACGCAATCCCTGCGAGACCGCATCACACAGGTGGGATTGGACCGTTCTAGCAGCGCAAAGACGAGTATAACCCCTGCCGTACTGGACTTTGGGGTTCAAAAGTTTTACGATTGCGGGGCCCGAAATGTATTGACCATCAGTAACGCGGGGGACTGCGTGGCCCTGGTAAAGGTGTTCCGGCAGCGTAATCAGGATGTCAGTGAGGGGGCGTGGCTGCGGGTGTACCCAAGCAACTTCTCCATCCTCCCTGGGGAGACAAAGGAGGTGGTGGTGGAGTGCCAACTGCACCCGCGCTGCATGTGGTGGATGAGTCGTTGGCGTCCGTTTGAAGGTCATGGTCAACTGAACCTTTCATCCATGCTGTTGGTGTTTGTCAGTCAGGGGCCTGTGCACCTGGTGGAGTGCAAAAGTACAATTCTGCCGAGCGTATACGGTAACAGCCTGGAGAACATCTCACTTTTAGGGAATGAAGTGTGTATCACCGCCTATGGGCTCAAAGAAGACTTGGAACAGCTGCGCAAGGTGGTTCGACCGCAGTTACCGAAGGAACTTTGGTTTCTTAGCGAGGCTATTTACGAGCGTGGGGCGCGCCACCCAGATCTCTTCACCGAGAACGGATCTGCAGAGGCCTGCACAGCAATTATGCAACATCTTGACACCCGCTGTGAACCGCTGCCTGCCGAGTTTGACATTCAGTCTGTGGCTACCTGCTTTATTACCTTTCTTCAGTCGCTGCAGGAGCCGGTGGTGCCGTTTGCGTTGTACGCGGCGGCCATTGCGGCCGGGAAGGCGGGAGGCAGAGCACCCCTTGTGTTTGTGCAGCAACAACTTCCCCCGCAGCATGCCAACGTTTGGATCTACGTGTGCGCTTTGCTTGCTTTCCTGTTGCGGCCTGTGAATGCCCGCGGCAATCAGCTCACTCCTAGGATTGTGGCGAAGCTCTTTAGTGATGTGTTGCTTGTGCGACCAGGCGTCCTGAACCGTGCCACCTCTGGAAACCGAGCGGGGTCTCAAAAGGACATTGTCCCACCACCTCAGGGCGTTGTCACCTCGCAGTCGCTGCGTCAGCAACTACAGCAGGAGAAGGAGCATGCGATGAGCCTCATCGAGTATTTCCTTATGCCGCCTCCAGAGGCGCTACGGTAATGGGTTTTTGAATTCATGTGGTGGTGGTGTTACTGCTATTGGTCGCTTCGGCTTGGTGTGACTAGACTGATACCTGACGTTTTCCCAATAGCGGATTTTATTCTATGTTTGCTTCTGATATTTTCTTCTTTTTTTTTTTGGTGGTGGGGGGTGGTCTTGCTACACTTGCAGCTAAGAAGTCTTTTCGCGCTACACCAGCCATGTCCATGAAGTACCTCGCCGCATACGCTCTTGCATCGCTGAGCAAGCCGACACCAAGCGCTGCCGATGTGGAGGAAATCTGCAAAGCCTGCGCTATCCCAGTTGAGAGGGAGTCCCTTGCATTTGTCCTGGAATCCATCGCTGGCCGCAGCGTTGCCACCCTCGTGGCGGAGGGTGCGGCGAAGATGAGCGCCGCCGCCGTTTCCGCTGCTCCTGCTGGCGCTGGTGCCGCCGCTGCCGCCGCCGGCGGTGCAGCCCCCGCTGCTGCCGCTGAGGCCAAGAAGGAAGAAGAGGAGGAGGAGGATGATGACATGGGCTTCGGTCTCTTCGACTAAGTGCAGTGGCATGCGACGCGTTGTACCTGCAACGTGCGTCTTCTTTGCACGCAACAGCAACAACGGACACTTTGGCTGTTAGCGTTCGGGGGCGTGAATGACTGGAAGGCATAATGCAGTTTGACTGCTTCGTTCTTTGTTTATTTGTTTTTTGCTTTTTTTTTTTATCATTTACAAAATAATCTATTCCGTTCCTTCTACCCGCATCCGCCCGCTTCCCGAGGCAGCCGCCAGCGAAGTCGCTGCGAGGGTGGGGGAAGGCGCTTTTTGTGCGGTTGTTTCTCCTGTACTGTGGACCAGCATGTGCTCTCGCAGCTAGCATGTTTCTTTTTTTTTTTTTTATTTCTTCTCTTTTTGTTTTTGAGTTCACCGCTGTTGCCTCTCCTCTTCGCTAGAGATTCTCACCGTTCGTTGAGTGAGGGGCACACACGCACACGTACACGTACACGTACGAGGAAAGGAGAAAAAAAAAAGAGAAAAGAAAATCCGAAGACGTGTTTCCCGCATTGAGTGCAATTATACACACGTGTGTGTATATATATATATATATACTTCGACACGCGTATTGAATTACTTGTCGGTGCTTTGAGGGGACATTTACTCCCCCATTTGCGGGGGGAGGGGGGAATTGTAGTGTTGCCACTTTTTTTTTGTTCAGGAGAGAAGTGACGGAGGCAGCTCGAACGGAACGGCAAACGTTTTGGGAGAAACACGTAGCACGGAGGGGGGGGGAAAGGGGGTGAGAAGAAGAATAAAAAGTCAGCAGAAACGAAAAGAAACGAGGGCATTAACGAATTTTGCGACGCTCGCTGGTGATAACATACACACACACACAAACACATACAGACGTGTATAGTGTGAAGGGGGTGGGAGGAAGGGGGGGAGAGTACACTTCGTATTTGGGTCTAGTATCGTTCGTAGGACGGGGATTTCAGGCCTCTCGCTTAGCGTGGTGGGGACGCAATGTGGCGTGCCTCTCTCCACTCTTCAGAAGCGATAGGCAGCGAATCGGAACCATCCCTGCCGGAGTTTGATGCCATCATCGCGACGCCGCAGGGAACCATCGAAGGCCTACGGAGGCACATCCGGTGCCTTGTGGGCGCCGTCGAGAAGGAGAGCTCGCTGGTGGCGGTGATTCAACTTCTCGAGGCGGAGCGGCAAGGGCTGTCGGATCCCTCCACCACCGCCGAAATCCGCAGCGGCGAGAACAACATTCTCTCGTCTGCCTCCTCAGCGGTGGCGAAGCTCTCGCTCAACTGCGAGTCACGACTCCCCTCTGTGAGCGGGTTCACCACCACCCCTGTTAACAGCAAGTTCAATTCTGTAAACCCGGGGGAGCGATCCCTGCTACTGCAGCAACAACAGATGGGAGAGGCCGCGGCGGCTGAGAACGTGAACAGTGTCGCAAACCGCGTCGAGGAGGGCAAAATGGAGGGGGCGATGAAGGAAACTGCCGCCCCGGAGGGACCTTTTTCATTGTCCCCACAGCCGTCTTCTCCCGAATGCAGGAGGGAGTCACAGGTTAACCACGGCCGGCGCGCGGCGGTGTCGGCGGAGTCCCTGCCGCTGAACGCCATACAAGGCTACCGCCCGCCGGTCGTGCCAAAGTCTCCTGAGGAGGAGTGCGTCGTCCGGGCCGGTGTCATGTCGTGTCACCTTTTCAGTAACATGGACATCAAGGATCAGACCATCATTGTTCACGCGTTAAGGCGGGAAACCTTCCCTGCTGGGACAGACATTCTGAAGCAGGATGGGCCTTCCGTGGAAAAGTTGTTTCTTCTCACGCGCGGCTCATGCGAGGTGATTAAAAAAGGCAAAATGGTGCACACGCTGCTTGAGGGTAGCACGTTTGGCGAGATGGAGATGATGTATAATCTTCCCACCTGCGTGGCAACCGTTCGAAGCGTGACCAACTGTGTTCTCTATACACTTGATCAGTTCACCTACCAGCATATTGTACTTGCTGTCTCGCTGCATAAGCGGAGTAAGTATGAGGCGCTGCTGCGCAATGTAAAATTTCTTAGTGCCTTTTCAAATTATGATCGCATGCAAATCGCTGAGGCTATTGTGACAAAAACATATTATCAGGACGACTACATCATACGATTTGGGGAAGCGGGTAGGTGGCTACACCTTATTGTGGAGGGCGAGGTGTCGGTTGTGGCCCGAGATCGCGGCAAGAAGCGGGAGATTCTGCGGCTTTGCGAGGGCGACGTGATAGGGGAGTTGGAGTTTTTGTTTAACGAACTCGCTGTGGCGGATGTTATTGCGACTTCGCGACAGGTCACGACAGGCCAAATTAAACGCAAGCACTTTGAATTGATTACAGGCCCCATTCAGGACCACCTGAAGGAGTACGTTGCCACCAGCGGCAAGTACACGCACTACCTTGGCGAGGCAAATGCGCAAATCAAGGCCGAGTTAAGTGTACTGGCGAAACGCTCCAAGCGCATGGCCAGCAAGGCAGAGCGGGAGAATACGCTGCTGGATCAGGTGGATGCGTGCGGCGAGATTGTGCTCCCTGTACCAAAGAAAAAAGTCTTTTCTATGGAAAAGGGTATTGGTGTGGACCGAATAAATGGTACAGCGGTATATATCGAGGGTGCCGTCAACAATCCAGAGGCGGAACCATCCTCAGCGCATGTGCTGTTTCGCTTCCCATTGATGCCACTGCACGAAAACTTGTTGGCGATGATTGCTCTCTGCGAAGATGGATCCATCCTGCTTTGGAACGAGATGATGGTACGCCTCACAGGCTACACCGCGGAGGAAGCCATTGGTCAACATGTATGCTCCTTCCTTTTGGAGACGAAGGATCAAAAGGCAATGCATGAAGCTATTTGTGGTGCACGACGCTATGCAGGCGATACTGAGGCTTTTTTTGACGAAAAAAGCTGTGGGGATCGTCAGGTCTACACCTTCGCCCGAATGGACGGCATAACCAAGGTGAAGCTTAAACTTGGCGTTGTACCCCCCATTGTCTCTCACGGCAAAGACGCCGCGGAAATTGTGTTGGTTGTTGGCGAGGAACAGAGCTTTGAATCGCAGCAGGTACTTGATAAGTCGCAGCTTTTGATCGACCAGATCAGTGGCGTCTTGCGCGATGGCGAGTGCAGCTATGAAGATCGTCTGCATCGTGTTGCGACGGTGCTTAGTGGTTTTGACGTTACCTGCCGTGCGATGATGGCCTCAACGGTGAATGTGCGGGAGGTGAACATCCGGCAGATGATTGGGCAGGTGATTATGGACTACGGTACCCAATGTGTCTCCAGCGGGGTGGCTGTCCGTCAACGCTTTGAGGGGCTTTACGCCGAGAATGCGTACCTTAACGCCAAGGCTTTGCCGGAATGCTTACGGTATGCGATGAGTAACTGCGCTCAGCACCTTAACAGGGCGCAGGTGACAATTACCGTGCGGCCCACAGAGAGTAACGGCACAGAGTTTCTGGAGATTGAGTTTCATGACGACGGCCCTGGGTTTCCCGTGGAACTCCTGGACGACTTTCACGACGGGTATGTGACTGAAGCGACGAGACACCTTTACCGCGTGCAGGAGGCCATGGCGCGGCAGGGTGGAACTATGCTCATCGAGTCTATGCCTGGCAACACGACTGTGTTATTTATAGTCCCTTTTGTTCCTGCACAAGAGAAACTGGGTGGCACCTTGGTGCATCACGTACAGGCGCTCGATACCTCGATGAGTCTGACCCATCCGGATAGTGGTACGCAGGGGAGCGGGACCCCCTCCGTGGGAAGTTTCAGTATTACGAGCGGCAGGCACCTTCACGTTGGAAAGCGGACATTTACCACGGTGGTTGTGGAAGATGTTCCGGCGCATCGAAACATGCTATGCAGGTTTCTCTGGGAACGCAAGCATGCCGTCCTCCCTGCCTACAACCTTGACGATATTGAGCAGTTGGTTGCTGTGGTGGATATTCTTTTCATTGATCCACATCAGTCTATATTTGGGGAAGGCAACAACGCGCTTGACCCCATCACCCTGTTGCGTGAAAAGGCACGGCGCATGGCGGTTGTGGTCACTGGTGTGGACATGGACAGGGCCAGCACAAAGGCGTACCAAACAGCCGGGTTCCTGACGCTTAAAAAGCCATGCAATCCTATACAGGCCCTGCATTGCATTCGCAAGGCGGAGGAAATGATTTTGCAGTACAAACTAGAGGCTGAACGTATAGCGCAGACGCGTGAGACACTTTCAAAGAACAGTCGTGGGGCATGGCAACGCGGAAAGCTACTCGGGAAGGGCATGTTTGGTAAGGTGTATGAGGCAACAGAGGTGTTAACAGGCGGCAAGATGGCTGTGAAGGAGATGAAGCTGGGACGACGTAATCTCCAGATTGACCAGTTTGTGAATGAGGTTTCAGCCATGTGTAATCTGCGGCACCCAAATATTATTCATTATTTTTACTGTGAGGAGAATAAAGGGGAAAACGTGATTCGTGTCTTTATGGAGTATGCTGCCGGTGGAAATTTACAGCAGCTGTTAAAGGCTAAGGGGAAGTTAGACTTCAAGGAGTATCAATCCCTCCTACGTGATGTGGTGGAAGGCGTGGCATATATTCACTCCATGAATTATGTTCATGGAGACTTGAAGACGGCGAACGTGCTACTAAGTGCGGAGGGAAGAGGAAAAATTGGTGATTTTGGTACCGCGCGGCGTGTTCAGGAAGGTGAATTGTTGTACAAGATGCAAGGCAGCCCTCTTTACATGTCGCCAGAGTGCTTGTCTGCGAGCGATAGAGACGAGGATGGGGTTCTTATTGGTTACAGTTTTCCAAGTGACATCTGGTCCCTTGGATGCATAGCGTTAGAAATGGCAACAAATAAACCACCCTTTTCGCACCTGAGAAACATCACCGGTCCTGCAGGACTGCTGGCGTACGTCACGAATCTCCACGACACGCCTGACCTTTCCCCATTGTTCGATGGCCCTCCGAGTGTGGTGGAGTTTGTCTCCGCGTGTCTTAACCCGGATTCGTCTAAGCGAGCCACGGCAGGTCAGTTGCTACACATGACCATTTTTAGTGAGGCCACGAATGAGGACATGAAGTCTGCCTTAAAGGCTTTGAAGCGTGCCCAGCTGCTTCAGGTGCTGAATAACTTTGTAGCATTTGAGGAGCCGGAGGATTTGGAGCGTCGCAGATCCCAGCAACTCTGCCGCTGCCACAGGCGGCGGCAGGCTGATTTTTGTGACTCCTGCTTTGGTGGTGACGACTCCACGGTAGACGAGGGTGCAAAAGAGGAAGGGGAAGACGACGACAGTGACCAAATGAAGGCAGGAGACGCCGCCAGGGCGACAGCACATCTCAGTCTGACCCCCGTCTCCAAAGTCCGTCACGACGACGGCGACGAGTCCCACCCCGCGCGTCGCTCCCATACAAAGTCCGGAAGTGTGATGCGAAGTCCGCTCCGCGTTGACGAGGATGCCTTTTTTGCCTCCTCCACCTCCCCCTCACCCGCTTCGTCGGGCGAAAAAGGGGAGGCGGAGGAACGGGAGGGTGGAGACAGCGGGAAGACCGACGTCATCGTTACGGCATCGAGGGAAAAGAGGGTATCGACTTGTCCGCGCTCCTCCACGTTGGGGCCGCTGCGGGATGATTTTCTTTCAACATTTACACCAACAGTGGACTCTTTTGCACTTGACAACCGCTACATCGCCTTTATGGGGTGCAGCATCGACAACCCGAGGACTGGTGCCGCCGGGGACTCGGTCTTGCAGGAGGCTCCGCTCCAGAGTCCCGGAACGTTACCAGTACGGCCGCCGCAGAGGCGGGAGTCCCACGCCCGCCACCCTCATAACGACAGCAGTTTTATGCGAAGGGGATTCACTCAGCTGCTGGAGCTAACGTATCGGCGGTTCTCGTCATCCAGGTACTCTACCCGGCAGCCATCGAAACTGGGGATGAAGAACATGTTTTTGGTGGAGGATCTGCAAGCGGTTTCAGAGGAAGTGAGCCCGAATGCATTGTCTTCCCACGCACGCATGCTTCCCACACGTTCACACCATTCGAGTCGTCACGGGAGCACCCCACGGCAACGTCGATTTGCCGTTGCACCTCACTTGAAGTCACCCTCGCCAGCGTCACCCATGCGGGGAACAGAAGAAAATACGCGATTTGTGCCGTCCTCTGGCACCGTGGTGGAGGTTGGCCCATACCCGTTATCACCAGACTCCCCTGTAGCTCGCAAGGGAGTCGTTTCGCTCGGTAAAGAGCTGGTGTCGATGCTCCGCACCGTATTGGGGCTGCTGGAGCGAATGAAAAAGGTCAGGCCAAGGGAGAGGGAGGCGTCTGGACGGTTGCTTCCTCGACAGGCGACAGGCGATTTCTTACCGCCGAAGAGTTCGGAGTGCCAAGAGGATGAGGTTGACATCGCCGACAGCGCAATGGTGATTCGCGAATTGGTGGGGCGTGTTGAGAGGGAATTTGTGAGTTTAAAATCCCAAACTGGTGTGGAGTGAGTCTGTCCGTGCACGTGCGTTTGCGAGGGGATGCGGGGTTGAATGCTTCTGTCAACTGCTTGCGCTCGCTTGAAGTGTCCGTGGTATTTGTCTGGCGAAGTACCGCAGCACATGCACGTAAAAAAAAAACGACGGAAATAAATTCGTTTATGCCTTTTATTTGGAATTTTTTTGTTTTTCTATTTTTTTGTTTTTCTTCTTTGTTTGTTTGTTTGTTTTTGTGCTTCTGTGTGTTATAGCGGAACTGTAGTTCTCTCGCTTCCTCTCATATATATATATATATGTATATGTATAATATATATACATATTTACATACATACATTACCCTCTCGCTCTCTTTATATATATTACCCTCTCGCTCTCTTCATATATATTACCCTCTCGCTCTCTCCCTTTGTAAATGTTGGGGGAGTGGGGGGGGAGAGATTGCACCGCTGAGGATGCGTTCCGCATGCACCTCTCGCGCAGACTGTCTGTCTGTCTTAATTTGCGCACTTTTTTTTTCTTCTTTTATGGGGGGTCGTCAAGAAAACACCCAGAGAGGGAGAGAGAGAAATACCCCCGGGCGGCAACATCGCAATCAGCGAGGAGGAAAAGAGGAAAATGAAATGAAACACTAGGGGGCGGTGTTTGTCGTTTAAACTATCTTTGTTCGCTTGAGATTTCGTCAGTGTTGGACTGTGTTTTCCTTCTATTTTCTCATTACCACCACCACCACTACTACTGTGTTCTGCTGGTTTATTTTTGGCACGTTAAAGCATTCACATTTGCGACTGCCGTGTCGAAGAAACTACACTTAGAGACCGCAGGAGTAGGTATGTCAAAAATCTGCGTCCCGCTTAGCGAGGAGCTGCTGGCCAGCACAACGGAGTGTTTGGCCACGACGCCTGGCGCAGAGAACGCCGAGAGCAGGACTGGATCGACGTACACGGCAATAATGGGGTCCACCCCCAGCGAGGCCGGGGGAGGGCGGCCCAAGTGCGTCGTTGCCCGCGTCATTGAAGACGTCGTGCGCCCCTTGAGGAACGTTCGCGTGCTTTCGCACAAAAAATTCTGGCATGGGGATGAGTCGCCTGAGACGTCTAGCTCCTGCATGAACTGTCACACGGAGCAAAGTGGGGAGGTGTGCCGCAGCTTGGTGCCTGGCCCGGTTATCGCCAAGGAACTGCCCGCCCACGACGAGGAGATTATCTCCTTCCTGCAAAACACGGAGCACTTGTACCTGCTGCGGCGGGAAGAGATGCGAGAGGCGGCGCGTGCCTCGCTGCGCCGTGAATACCTGCCGGGGGAGGTTGTGCTTCCAGAGGGTGGGCACGCACTGCATGTGTACGCCGTCGTTTGTGGGGAGGTGGAGGTGTTTGACCCCAACAAGGGCGACGCGGCGACTCAGTACGCCTGGACGCGCGCCCAACCCGTGCCTCATCAACAGGGGAAAATGAAAAAAAATTGGTCCTGCACTGCCGACGGTGAATGTAACTTCTTGGATCCAGCCAGTGACGATGAGGAAGTGAGCAAGATGTGGGTGCCGCAACAATCCGAGTGGTTATTCGGGTCGTCGTCGTCTCAGGAGGAGTACAAGTTCATGACACACTGCGGCAGGGTGAAACCCGGGATGGTGTTTGGCCTGGAGCTCTGCGTCCTCGGCGACGCCTCTCCCCTGCGCTACGTCACCGGCCAGGCCACAGACCGAACTGTACTGGCGTTGATTCCCTCCCCTTTGGTGCAGCAGCTGCTGGAGCGAAACCGGTACTTCGCCCAGAGCGTGGGACGGCGCGTAAGTGAGGGAGATGTGTTTATTCCTGTTCGTGAGTTCTGCCGCTACGTCTTTATGCCCTCGGCGGCGATGAACGAGTACCTTCCTCTGTGGACGATTCTCGATTGCTACACAAAGATTGAGAATGTTATCCACACAAAGCTGAAAAGCAACAAAATAGACACAGCAGCGTGGAGCTACGCATTGAAGCGTCTACCAGAGAATGTCACCACAACTTTCTTCTTTAACCTTGTATTGGGGCTTCCGCCATTTGTCGCGACGCGAATGCGTGAGGAGGCGAAGAAGGCGGACGCCCGTCACTTCTTAAAGGATGGAAAGCATAAAGTCCATACAAACAGGACTGCCGTTACTTACATCCGAACCAAGGAACGCCGCCGCTGCACGTGGCATTTAGGTATGGAGGGCAAGGTTCTTGTGCTGCTGCGTGACGGCTACACAGATCTACTCGACTTTATATCCATGTTGTGCGTGCACATCATTGAAAGTAACAAGCTTCGGGGTCGTGTGCAGGGAATGGTGCATCCACCAGCCATTGACGTCTTGGACGAGTATCTGCAAAATCGTGAGGTTGATGAGAGTGCTGGAATCGTGCGTGATAACGCTTCCGAGTTGGAACGCGTGCGGGATGTGTTGAGGCATTTACCCTTAACAGAAGAGGAACAGAAAGGGCTTTTGGATGTTTGGCAAACGGACTGTCTTGTCAAAATCTATGAAATAATGATGCATCGAGAGGAGTTTAGCGTCCGTGTGGATCCAAGTGTTTCCCGAAGGTTTCAGACAAATCCTTTTGTGGAGTGGGCCCTTAATTTACGTGCCTGTATCATGCAGAAGATGGGGATGGAGCGTTATTGGGCCCCACCAGAGGATCTTTGCATTGACATTGTCAGCAGCAACACACACTGTATCAAGAACCTGCTGTCCAGCTTCCACCGCAAGCATCACCATGTTATTGAGGAGTATGCAAGGCATGATAAACGGCTCGGGCCACTGGAAAACTGGCACACATTGGAGGATGCGTTGTATGCCTCAACCAAAGGAGTCCTCTCCACTGATCGAACAGACCTTAGAGAGGAGTATGCCAAAGCCCTTGAAGAGAGTGGCATCATGGTACTTGCTGACACCGCTATGACAGGACTTCAGGTGGACATCATCCCTGTGCATGCACTAAACTTTGAAACTGTCGACTCTCTCATTCGGGACTTCCTGAAGAAACACTTTAGTGACCCAAAGCAGTCGAATTCCACAAACTGGTCGCAAGTTTGTAAGCCGCGGACCTCGAGTAAAATGAGTACGGATAGTGTTTCATCTTCTGATTCACAATGTAGTCAAACTAATCATAGCCGCTTAGATCGGCACTTTATTATCAACATGGACTTTGCCTTTGGAGCTCAGGCTGAAGGTATTTGTAGAGCTATCTTCAGCGTATTTGGGCATCGGATTCGAAGCGTAAATGTGATTGGGAAAGCTGGTGGTTTTGTTGGGAAACGTGGTGACATTCAGCTTCCCAAAGAGGTGCTTATGTCCAAGTCTGGCCTTCTTGTGGAGGATCCGCAGGACGAGTTACGTCGTTGCCGCAATCAAGGGCTCACAGCAGAGCGTCTACAACAGCTGGCAGGTCCAAATGTGTCAGTCCATGAGGGGCGACTTCTCACGATTGCAGGTACGATGCTACAAAACGTGCGAATGTTGAAGTTCTACAAGCGTATTTGGGGTTGTGTGGGAGCTGAAATGGAAGGGTCGTATTTTGCGCGTGCACTTGAGGATTTCTACCGCCAAGGCATCGCCAACCGAGCGTTGGAGACACGCTTTGCGTACTACACGAGTGACTTGCCTCTGGTTAGCTGCACCCCAAATGGCGTTGCAAGTGCCTCTCTCTCCGCCCCCATGGCGCCGGCCGAGGGGGTTCCACCACTCTACGCTATTGTGCGGGGTATTCTGGAAAATATCCTCCTCCCCGGCTGAAAGTGTGGGTGGAGGGGGCGAGGGACGAAGGGCTTTTGCTGTGTCGTCGTTGCCGTTGCTTCCTCTTAAAGAGGGGAATTGGGACTTTGGGGCGTTTGCAAGAAAATGTGGGAGAAAGAGGTTGGGGGGGGGGGGGGGGAAGAGACCTGGGGGGAGTAGTCTGTGTGTGTGTGTGCGTGGGATGGCAACTACAATCCCGTTGTTTTATATATATATATATATATATCTGGGAGTTAATTGTGCACAAACCGTTTTTTTTTTTTTTACAGCGGTGTGGTGTGTGTGTTTTGCATTTGCAATGTTTTTGGTGTGTTTGTTTCCTGCGTGGACGTTGCTGTCCCCTTTCCCCTCCCACTGTCGGTGCGTGGATGCCTCTCGTCACATGCGTCCTAACACCACCACCTCTTTTCATCCTCCTTTTGCGTGTGTCAGTTTCTTTGGGGCCCACTCTGTCTGCGTCTGGCGTCGTGAGTGAGTCCAGCGAAAGGAATCAACGATAGCGAAGAAGGGCTGTGGCGGCGTAGGTGGATCTATTTCGCTAAGGTTTTTTATTTGCTATTATTTATTTTTTTGCATTTCTTAGCTGGTGGTCTCCGCGGGGTTTGTCTCTAAATGGCGCTGCTGCATCATCGGTGGTACGACGCCGACCTCACCGCGGTGACGGAAAGCGGCAGCAGCCTCCGCGAGACCCGCATGTCGTGGTCTCACACGGACCCGGCCATGGAGGAGACAGTGGTGGTTCTGCTGCTTACCGCACATGCGGCCCTCAAGGAGCCGGCGGACGGCGACGGTACTCTCTACGCGCTTAAGGTCATCCTCTTCACCACAGCCGCCGCAGACACCCACACCGAACACGTTGCTGGTGCGGAGACATCAAGGCAAGAGGTGCACAACGCGGTCTTTGAGCTACACGCGCCGTTGGATGTCTCCGTTGTGAAAGGGACAAGTGGACTTGTCTTCGTCTCAACGCGGCAATTCTTCTTTCATGCCACTGCCGGGGGAACGTCACTGGACCGCTTTATCTTTCTTCCCGTCGAGAAGACGTGGGAGCGGCAGCGTCACGCACTGCAACCGTTACATGCTGTTGAACCCGTTCGTCGAGTTCTCACAGAGGCGAGTGGCGACAACCAACCGCAACTCCTCCTGGTGGCCAGGACTGGAGCCTCACCAGCGACACCGTCTCCCAGCGGGGACGATAGCGTGGACCTGCTGGTGGTGGCGTCAAGGCAGGCGAGTGCTGCAAGGAGCTCAAAGGGACGGCTGCGCATGGCGGCGGCTACAAGTCGAAAAGCCTCCGCCTCGGACTCGCAGACTGCACCATTGTACACCTTCGTGTTGGTGATGCTGCGGTGTACCGTTCATGCAGAGCGGGTGGCGGGAGCAAAATGGGAGTTGTTACACTTGTTTGTGGACCGTGAAGTGCCCTTTCGGCAGCAACGGTGCATTGGTGAGGTGGAGGCGTGGGCCACTGGTGATATGCGATCTGGCGACAATGCGATTTGTCCGGGGCAATGCACTTGGTGCTACGTGCATTCTCCAAATGTTGTGGCTGAGGAAGGAGGAAAGCATGCAAACGAGGAGGTTACGGGAACGAGCAGGATAGGTGGCATTGTTGTTGCCCTTGTACCACAACCATCCAGTGTGGTTGCTGTGGTTTGCGCCGGATTTGATGCGGAGAGTCAGGCCTATCGTCTTGGTTTTGTGGCCACTCCGACCACCGGGAGTAGCAGTGTGCTGCAGCATTCCGTAGAGGACACTGAGAGCCCTGAAGAGACGCTCTGGAGTCTTTCAGAGGACACCCACACGGTGCAGATGATGCTTGTGGGTGCACCAACGGTTTCCTTGCGTGGGTCAGAGGTGGACACCAGGAGAACCACACCACGCCGCCTGGACCAACACGTCCGTGGAGGCAGAAGTAATTATGGTACCAGCCGTACTACTAGTGGTGGGGATTGGATGCGGCAGGCAGGCTTGTCCAGCGTGCTGCAATTCTTCGTGGACTTTCTTGATGACGGAATTCGTGGAGTCTCTGCTGGCCCTAAGGTTGTTAACCAAGGCGCTCAGGGTTTGTATTTTGTTTCGAGCGCACCATGGTCAACGATTCGGCACGGTCGCTTTCCCATACCACGCAGTGTCTGCTGGATGGACACAGCACCGCTGCCCATTGGAAAGGCGCTTACCTCCATGGTCTTGTTTCCTGCCAGCGATGGTGCGGAAAAAGGCTACAGCGACATGGCAGTCATGGGTCCCACCATGGGTGATGAAGATGCCACCTCGTGGTGCCACATGCTGCCCACCTCCATTGCATCCTCGCTCCCTGTGGCATCTAGAAATGGGGCGCTTCGCTGCTTCCTTGGCGTCAATGTGCTGTTAAAGAAGACACGTCTGACGTATGTAGTTGAAATAAACGCAGTGACACAGGCGTCCGCTGATCAGAGGGAAAATCACCCCACTGCGTGGCTGTACACACAGCCGCAACGTGGGAGGGATGCTCCTGATGAAAACACTGAGGAAGAGGAGGAGGAGGAGGAAAGACTGGCGAGGTGTCTTGCTCGCTATGCCGCCATGCAAAGCACTGGTCCATCAACAGTGGATGGCCTCCGTACGACAGTGTTGCAGGACGCTCTGTTCAACAGCACGGTTCCCGAGGCTGTGCTGTATGAGGCATGGCGAAGCGTGGCGATGGGACGCTGTGCCGCTGCAACCATGTCCGTTTGTGAGAATGTTGCACGCTGTACGGAGGTGGATCTTACTCAGGAAGTGTGTGATTTGGCTAACAGGCTTCGACGTTTTCTCCTGACTCTTCTCGTGGAACTGGATTGGATGACGCACGCCGACAACGAACTCCTTCGCGAGGTTACGTTGCTCCTGCTAGGGGCTGTCGACACAGGAAAGACATCTCCGGACCGTCGCGAGCCGTCATTGCGCGATAGTACTTTGTTTGTTCCCCATCTTACTCCAAACGAACGGTGCACCATGCATTGGCTGCTACACCACAGTGAGCTGTGGCCACCGCTGGCAGCAATGCTCTTTGCTTGGGTGAATCAGGGCAGAAGCCGTGATGAAGACGAAACAGAAATTCTTCTCGAGGATGTCATTCAAACGTGGGAGGAGATAGATGCGTGTAAAACCGACAGGTGCTGTGCGTTTGAGGATCTCTTAAGCCGTCTGCGTGCGTCGCAGGACGCCTTCAAATATCAAAATGCCCTGGTGATTCTCTTACGCGGTAATCTCTCCCTGCATGAGACTGCCTCGCTTGCGGTATGGAACAATGTCGCTTTGCGAGATCCTTCGATCCTTTTTTTGCAGCTTCTCTTGGAGGTGGCTGTGGCGTGTAAGGATGCCACCGCCGCAGAAGCCTCCATCTCCAGCCTGGATTTAAGTCAAATCGTGATGTCTGTCGTGCAGGCACGGTTTCTGTCCGCTGACACGCTTGCAGCACTTCTGCAACTCATGCATGAGTGGAACTTCAGCTCCCTTGAGGATTGGCCGCTTGCCACGATGTCGGGTGGCTTGCCGGTGGTGTATCTTATTTGTCACCTTAGCACCGCTGATGGCAGCGAGGCGGCGCGTGAGTCACACCGTCCCATTGCACAGGCGGCGCAGGTGCTGCTTTGGTTATGTGGGGATTGTGTGGAACGGGCGGCGGTGGTGCTGAACGCGTTGTCTGCTGCGAGGGTCCCGCTCCTGGCGCTCTGTTTTGCGGAGGGTGACGGACAACATCACTTTGGGGTGCCTGAGGTCCCACTTAACGGCAGTGGTTTTGTAAGTGGCGTTGGCGGCAACACCAGTCGGGCGCTGCATCATATTTTGGCGTGCTCCACGGTATCTGTCTTGACAGGCGCCCTCGCCGAGCCTGGCGGCCGCGGTCCTACCGGTGACACCAGCAGTGAGGCGTTTGCCTGCCTCTTATGGACGCTTGTGCTGGAAGGTGATGAGGCGGCCGCCTTCAATCCCTCTCTTTTGCAGAAGCTTCATCAGGCACTAGTTGCCAGCCACAGCGTAACGCAGTCTAAGAAAGTTTCCAGTGCCACACTGTTGGACTTTCTTCGGCCTGTCTTTCTTTCAACCCTTCCGCGCCTATTTGCTGCGGTGGTAAATCAACACGAAACGGTGGGGGGCGCACTCGCAGCCACTGTGGCGTCGCTGACGGCATCAGGCGTTACTGCACTGGGACCACCGCTGGGCGAGACGGAGAGCATTCAGCATGTCTGGCTGGCGACGCTGCGGGAGTTGGGGCGGCTGCTTCAGTTGCATGTCGAAGACAGTCGTGAGGTTCGATGTCTCTCACTGCTTTTCAAAGCCTTTGAGGCGTCGTCCGCCACGCTGCTGGCAGAATCTCGCGGCGAGAGTAAGGCGTCAAACGCTGATCTTTTTTTCACTTTTTCCCCCGCAGAAATGTTTTTTTTGTCGCTGCAGATACTCTCCAATGAGCCGGCCCGCTTTGTGATTGCCGCAGAGGTTATGCGGCGACGTCTTGGTCCGTATCTTCTGCATGAAATGGAGATGGCGATACGACGTGCCGGCGAGGTTGCGCTGGGGATAGACACCGTCGGGGCCGCTGAGGCTTCCAACACAGAGGTGCTGTGGTGGGACAGCAAAGCGTACTTGAACAACGTGGCGGAGAACCTTGCACTAGTCATCGCTGCCTTTGAAAACACAGCACCGCTCTACGCCCACGCGCTGCTGCTTCTCTTCCTGGACGAGTCTCTGACCGTGATGGCGGACGCTGCACAACGACTAGGAGGAGCGGACGGGGCTAGGACGCTTTCTATGAAGGTGCAGAGTGAAATGCTGCAATGCACTCGTCACGTGGCGCTCTCCCGCTGGGCGAAGCTGCATCTGCAGGAGAAGAAACTTATTGCCCGCGTGCTCTCACGTCACCTCTCTCTTCCTGACCAGGAGCAGGCTGAGGGGGATCTATACCAGGAGAACGATGTCCATCACCGCGTTGTCGCAGATATGGCCCGTATGAAAGAGGCCTTGCAGCAGAGGACTATAAATGCGGCCTTGTTGAGGGCCGTTAGAAGGAATGCCTGCCGAGTTTTGCCAGGTGTACAGAGCACAATCCATAGTGAGGCCCAGAATGATGGGGGAGACGAAACTTGGATCTCTTTGGAAGACATCACACTTCTTCTTAAGGAAGAGATTTATGTACGGCAGTGTTTACAGCGACAGTTAATGCGGGCACATGACGCCTTTGTCAGTAGTGACGTCTTCCGTGGTGTGCTGGGGACGTTGTATTTGGCGCTGCGGGAGGAGCAGCGTCGGCGTGTGTTTGTTGTCTTTGTGCGTGAACAGCATGACATTATCTTGACTTTTGCGTCTGCTGCACTCGTGGTGATGAATGAGGCATGTCGACGGGGGGGGCGTGTGCTGCAGCGGAATGCGCTGGAGCATTTTCAACGTCAGATTCGCTATCTTTTTATGCAGGAACGTGAGTCACGGTCTGCAGTGGAGGCTGTCTGTGTTGTGGAGCGTAAGCTACTCTTTGATCTCTCAAGCCAGCAGTGTGCCATGTCCGACGCTGAGAGCACAATGCGCCTTCGCCTAGTGGAGGTGGAGGAGGTGCGGCGTGATGCCTGCTACGAGCTCTTTGCGAAGGAGGAGATGGCGGCGCAGCGGCGGTGCGAAGCAAGGCTGGAGGAGGAGGCGTGGCGCGAGGAGGAGGCGCAGTGGGCGCTGGAGCTGCAAAGACGTCAAGCAGACGAGGACGGGGCCGGGGGCGGGGAGGCGGAGGCTGCCGCGGCGATGCGGAAACCGCCAAACGCCTACCTGCGGTGGAAGCAGCAGCAACTCGCCGCGGCGGAGGCGAAGTCACCGGCGGTTTTGCCGCAGCCGTCGTCTTCGTCTTCGTCGCGCGGCGCGGTACCGGTGCTGCCTGTTGCGGCATTGCCGCCCGCAAGTGCACTGGCCCCACTTCTCCTAACGGGCGATACCCCAGCGACATCTGCAGAGGATGTCGGGCACCGCGCACTGTTGGACGCCTCCGAATCTATTTTTACTGCCTTTTCACGACTGCAGAAGCAAATTATATCCACCGTGGCCCCACCACCTGCCACGAGCGTCAAAAATAATGCCTCCGCCGCACTGGTCACAGCCATTGTTCCTGTACAACAGGAACGAAATCCGACAGAAGGAGGGCGAACAGAAATCTGCATGGGAAATGTATCCAAGGCATCTCCTACGTTGCCGTCATACGTTTTGCAGATGTCTTCACCCATCACAGTGAGGGAGGAGGAGTGGGAAGACGCAGTTGAGGATGCCTTGCCTTCCTCAACCCAAGCTGGAAACGCAGATCACATGGTGAAAAAAGATCAGGACACCCTGGATGTGCCTCCAAAGGCCCACGATGATAACAGCAGACGACTTCGGCAGCGAGCATTGGCAGCGACGGGTAAACGGCGTGCCCCACGACAACGGCGTCTTGGCGAGGTGGTCTGCCTAGATAAAACGTCTGAGAAAACGGCGGAGGTGGGGATTGCGCGCGATGAAGCGAAACTGCATGAAAAGAAACCAGAGCCGCCGGGAGCCAGCAGCGTTGTCAGGGGAGACGCTGCACTGTGCGCCGTGGCGGGGAAGGAGGTGTCGCCGTCGGTGGAGAAAGCCAAGCCGGCTTCTGCATCTGTTGGTCCGCCCGACATCGATCAAACTCAGGAAACGCAAACGTGTGATGCCCCTGCAGAAGGCGACGACGTCCGTACGATGAAGTTGAATGCTGAGATGCCGGGTACGTTGAAGGGGGCGGAGGAAGAGGAAGGTCAAGAAGAAGCAGTCACACTGGCCCTGTGCTTCGAGTCGTCATTGGCTCTACAGACAGAGGAGGGTGCAACTCGTTATGCGCTCGGCGGGGAAGAGCGAGTGGCACGAGCCTTTTTATTCCGCTACTTTGCCCTGGAGGCGTAGCCGTGTCGAATCCGCTTTGCTTCATTTTCCTGGCGCGCCGTGAAACGCACAGGCGACGAACAACAGAAGTGGGGGGGGGGAACGTACTGACGGAGCGGATATGCTGGAGGGAATTTTTCATGGAGGTCATGTGGCACCGCGGCATGGATACCGCTGTTGACGTTGTTGTTTTGTCATCGCCTGCGTCATTTCCAATGCTGTCACCAGCGGCTCCTCCTGTTGTTGTTGATTTGTCCACCGTCACTGTAGGCGTCGTCCCTGTTGTTTTCTTCTTTTTGTGTGTAGCGAGAAGCTGCCAGTGGCAGCCCACCGACTGAGCAAGCACAGCGCATACGGCTGTCACCCCAGATACCAAAAGGGAAAAAGGATAAGGAACGCACTAGGAAGCTGCGGAAGGCACAATGGCAACGACAGCAGACTTCGTGGGGAGGAACTGCCCCCACTGCGGCGCCATCGACAGCCTGGAGACGGACGATGCACTTGGTGAAGTGGCGTGCACGGAGTGTGCCCTCGTGGTGGCGATGGGGCTTGAGGAGAACGCCCTCACGCGGTACAACAAGGACGCCACGTATGATGATGTTGACAAGCATCGAGAGCGTGAAGACGCGATGGCGTCCACGCTTCATGCTCTTGCCGCGTCTGCGTCGACAACGGGGCCATCTGGCAGGGATGTGTTGCCCAAAGTCGCACTCCACCCGGCTATGCTCAACTGCATCCGCAGCCTGCAGAAGAAGTCTGCGGTGCCAGAGCAGGTGATTGCTCGCGCTGTGAATATTGCGAAGCGGTTTGTTGCTGGTCGACGGGCACGGGGCCAGCGGGTGGAGAAGCAGCAGGAGGTTGCAGCGGCCTGCTTCATGATTGCAGCAGAACAGATGAGCCACCCCGTGCCTATGCTGGAGCTGCGCCACCTTGACCCCGCGATTGGCAATGTCGAGTACCGGCGGGCAGAAATCGTTAAAGAGACCCGCATGGAAGAGGAAGAGCTTCAGCTGAAGGCGGTCTACATCGACAACCTCCTCACTGTCTACCTCCGCAAGCTTGGCCTCCAACTGTCCCTCTACATGCCGCGCTGCAAGCGGATTCTGGAGGCGTTGCAGCAGGTCGATGCCCTCCGCAGCGCGGGGGTTGTGGATAAAATTATCATGGCGTTGCTGCTTGTACTCACCTCGCCGAGGTTTGAGGGGGAGGGAAATCCCTCCCCGCCCACCGCCCGAAGCAGCGGGGTTGGTGGTGGCACCGAGACTGTCTACGCTAACTTCGCTGCCAAAGCTCACTTGGATGTCGGCAAGGTAAAGAGAGTGATGCAGGCCGCCACACAAAACTTGCAGGCGATTGTGGAGGCGTTTGCTGCTGTGACGCCTTCTGCGAGTAGTGCACACACCACGGAGAAGAAGAAGAGGACTGATGATGATAACAGCGAGAATAACATGATGGCGCTCACGACCAAACGCATGAAGCTGGAAAACTCCTAGCAACTCATGAAGCGGTATCACTATATTTCTATCTCTTTTGCCTGGCAGTTGTGCTTTTTGATTTGGTTTTGTTTTATTGGTCTTTAAAGTGCGTTTGATCCCGTCATGTGTGTGTGTATGTGTGTGTGTGTGTGTGTGTTGCCTTTTCACAGCTCTTTCGTTGCACCGGTGTTGATGCTGTCACATAGTTTGCTCCAACGTCATTCCTTATTTATGTTATTTTATCCCTCCCTTCTTCCCACTACACACACGCGTGCGTGTATTTGTTTGCCACGCACTTACTGCCCGTAGTTAAGGTAGAAAAAGGGACACGTAAGGGGCGAGGAAGGAAGTCACGACGAAGCATTAAGTTATGCCAAAATTCGTTGACCCGGTGCACCTCCATCAAAAAGAGCATGAAGACCACGAAGAGGAGGACGAGGAAGACTTTGACCTGGTCGCCGCGATGAATGAGATGACGATGCACGAGCGCCGCCGGGCGTATGCACTGAAGGGTCTGCTGAATGACTACAGGAACGTCCATGCAAAGTTCCGCGAGGAGCTCGCATCTCTGCAGGTGGAGCACCTGCACACCACCCAGCAACTGCACAACGTGCGCGCGGAGATCGTACGCGGGCTGCGTGACGTGACCGACGACGAGATCGCCGCGCTGACGGTAACAGCGATCTCTGGTGTGCAGGAGATCCCCTCCGACGATGAGGACGACAAACAGGAGAAGGGCAAGGCTCAGTCGCGGGGAGCGGCAGCGGGTAGTGCAGGCAACACCGCAGCGCCGACCAAGTCGGTGAAGGTGGTGACCCTGCAGGAAGAAAAGGGTCGTCTTGAGACCGCGGCCGCCGCCGCAGATGGAGGCATTCCGGACTTCTGGCTGACAGCCTTATGCAACGCGGAGACGATTGAGTCCATGATCACCGAACGCGACCGTCACGCCCTGAGCTTCCTGCAGGACATTACAACGGAGTACATCGAAGACGATCCGCAGAAGGGTTTCCGTCTGAACTTTCACTTTGCACCCAACGAGTATTTTTCAAACACGGTGCTAAGCAAGACGTACCGCTTGACATTTGACGAGGATAGCGGGGAGTTTGAGGTGGACTCTATGAAAGCCACCCCAGTGGAATGGAAGTCGGCGGAGAAGAATCTCACCGTCATTCTAAAGAAGAAGAAGCAGCGGCACAAGACGAGCAAAAGCATCCGTGTGGTGACACGCGAGGAGAAGTGCCCATCGTTCTTCACCTTCTTTACGGACCCACTCGGGGACGACGACGACGAGGAGGAGGAGGAGGCTAGTCAGAGTGCAGAGGCGGGCAAGAAGAAGCATAAGGAGGAGGAGGAGGATGACGACGACGAAGAGGAAGAGGAGGCAGAGGCCGAACTGCACATTGAGGTAGGGCACTTGCTGATGGAGGAGATTGTGCCAAAGGCCGCCATGTTCTACACAGGGAAGTCAGTGGACCAGACGGCACTGGCGCTACAGAGCCAACTGAATATCCAGTTTCTCGACGACGACGACGACGACGAGGACGAGGACGAAGAGGAGAAGGAGGAGGACAAGAAGATTGGCAACACCCACGGCAAACGGCGGCACACCACTCAACACCGTGGCGGCGGCGGCGGCGGCGGCGGCAAAGAGGAGCAGCAGTGCAAGCAACAGTAGGGGCACATGCGGGTGGTGGAAGCGGGAGGGTACTTTTTCTTGTTGTTGTTTTCCGTTGTTGTGCCGTTGTCGCGGTCGTCCGCGCCACCTCTCTGAAGTTTGCCGCCGCCGCGTTGCATGTGTGTCACGTGTGCGTCTGCGGGGTGCAGGGAGACGCGCGGAAAAACGGGGTTTCTCCCCGCACATGAATCAGATCAACACCGTCACGGCCACGCCCCTGCGAGAGCCTCCTGCCAATGGCATCTGCGTAACTGCTGACCACTGGGCGGAGGGGGTGGAAAGGTGTTTCAACGGCAGGAGAACAAAAGAGACGTCAACAGCAAAAGGTAGAAGAACCACAAGAGAAAAAAACAAAGTGAAAAATGAGACTCTGCAGGCATGACGCCATGTTTGTCGTTTATTTTGTGCACTCACCCTCTTTTCTCCCTCCACACGCACATACACCGTAAATAAAAGGCGAGTGCGGCGCGTAATTATAGTAAGCAACAGAGGGGAGAAGAAAAAGAAAAAACAAACAAACAAACAAAGAGGTCAGTGGAAGATAAAAAAAAAAATGGAGAACCTCACATAAATGCATAAGAACAGAAGTGGATGCCAAAGTTAAGAAGAACGGGAGACGGGAACAGGAGAAATGAAACAAAAAATAATAGTATATATATATATATATACATGAAGGAAGAGGAAATGAGGGAGGAATGCACGCCGCACTGACGGAGTCCGCTCCACTTCGCTCTTCCCTCCCTGTGGCTTCTCTGCTTCCCGTGTTGAATAACCTGCAGACCACCGCAACAGCAAGATTCTCCACCATTGCGTGGGCCAAGCGGTTTCACACGTGTGCGCCTGTGCCTCTCTCCCACCATGATTGGGGGCTGAGAGGCCGATGCACGCCGCTGTAGCTCTCTTTCTTATTTGCCTTTGTTTATCACGCCTTCTCTTTTCGCTACGTATCTGCAATGTGTC